TGGGGGAGGAGGGATGGGGGTGAGGGGACTTACATGTGAAACAAGCCTGTTCCCTAACTTGAATTAATAATAATAAAAAGGGAAAAAATGTGCAGGCTCACACTCATACACATAAACTAAAATAATGATATTAAAAAAATAAAATTCAGGAAAATGGTTTGTATTTGTCAGTATTTGCACAAAAGATGTTCCTTAGTTACCAAATTTAAGGCCACTGACTCTGTATTACAGGGAAAAGTAATATCACATAAATACTGTGTTTGAAGGAATGAGCATTAAGCTCTTCTCCAACAAGGATAAGGGATTTGCACAGCTAACTTTGGGGAACTCGCCAATAATGGAATTAACGAGGTGACAAAAGACTCAGATGATATGGAGCCAAGGATGATGTGAGAAGCACCCATGGGCTGACATGCAGGCTTCCTTCCCCCAGCAGCCTCACCTTCCTACATCTGTATTCCGTCCAGCGAGGAGGTCTCCTGACAACCACAAGCTCACATCAACCGACAGATGACGCAGCAGGAAACATTTAATTTATTTACTAGCCGACCTTTCTGGCTGAGCTATTTGGGAGCCTCATTAACCATGGTCAATTAAATAAATTCCAGCTACTGCTCACCCTGAAGTTGCTGATGTGAGCAATGACGGGATTGAAATGGAACACCTGTGACTCGTGCAGGCCACGTGAATTTCAATTACAACAGAAACGTGGCCTGCTCTCACCTTTCACTGCCTCTTGCTCACTATGGACCGCCCACCTATTGGATTTACTTTGCCGCTTGGAGTTACTGACTCAGCGGGATAGTTTCTTTTGAGGAAAACTGGTGACGTGTTTGCTTCTTTGCGTGTGGTCGGTCGTGTAGGTGTAGAGTGTACGGCTTGCATGTGCAAAAGTGCAGGCGCATGTATACCTCAGAGCCCACATGGAGGCCACAGGACAGACAACTTCTGGGAGTCAGGACTCACTCACCTCCCACCTTGCCTGAGGCAGGGTCTCCCTCATTTCCGCCACTGCACTTAGTAGCCCAGGCTAGCCAGCCCTCCAGTTTCCAAGCAATTCTTCTTGGTCCACCTCCTATCTCGCTTTATCACTGCTGAGACTACAGAAGCGTGCAGTAGCACTCAGTGGACCTGAGCTAAGGTCGGGCTTGCTTAGCAGGCACTTTTACCTTGAGCTATCTCTCCACCCACAGCCCAACAGTCTCATTTCTAAATCATTTCCAGGTGGGAAGATGACGGCTGGTTTCTGGGACCACTTTGGCTTTAACATCGACTCTGGAGCGAAATCCAGGAAGCCACTATAGATTTTCTGAACGTGTGTCTCACTCTTTTGCCCCAAACTAGATGGATGTTTGCTCAATGTTGAGTCATGCGCAGGAGTCTGGTGTGGCTCAGCTTACATCACCTCACTTCTCTTAAGAAACAAGGGGTGCTCTCTGCTGTTTGGCTAGGACACGGTGTCACTTTTCTTCAGAACTCCCAAAGCTATTCTTGGAGTTTTATTCTTTCAAAGAAATTTTAGCAATGGATTACTAGGTGCTCAGGTTAAAAAAATAAATAAATAGTTGGGGCTGGAGAGAGGGCTCAGTGGTTAAGAACACACTAGCTTGTCTTCAGAGGTCCAGAGTTTAGGTCTCAGCAACCACATGTAATGAGATCTGGTGCCCTCTTCTGGCCTGCAGGGGTACATGCAGACAGAACACTGTATACATAATAATAATATCTTTAAAAAAAATTTGTTGACTGGGGTCTGTAATGGGTTCCAGACTAGACTGTGCTAGAGTGAGAACCTTCTCAAACTTAAAAAAAAAAGAAGCAAAAGAATTGTGTATTCAGAAAGCTCAATAAGGATTATATTAAAAGCATTAAACTTGGGAGAATTAACACCTTCATGGCATTCAATCTTTCCAACCCAAGGCTAGTGTTTCCTTTTATTAAAATTTTCTTTGAGCTCTCTTACTAAATGTTATTAATCCCATTTTCTTTGAAGCATGTTGTCTAAGAAGACTGTTAGTTTAGGAACACCCCTGTTATTTGTCTATTATCTAACATGCCAATTAAAATAAACCAAACAACAACAACAACAACAAAAATAGCAGTTCTAGGAAAAAGGCAGCAGCAAGTGACCAGGCCCCAGAGGTGTAAGGAAGAAATGGCATTAGGGGAGCCTATTATGGGGTTGGCTCCTGGTGGAGATAGGGACACAGGGACACTAAACATCGGGTTAGTGATATGGAGCTCTTCACAGACTTAAGGTTGAGAGCCTGATCAGATCTCAAAATAGGCACTGTGGTAGCAAAACATAAATCTTCAGAAATTATTCTCCTTCCATTTATGAACTAGACAAAATGAAGTGTAATTAAAACAAGTAAAATCGGGGCCCCTTGTGATCTACATAAACCTAGACCTACAAACTGTGTGATGGGCCCCCTTGCGATCTGCACCTAAACTTACAGAACTGTGTGAATTCCCCAGAAAAAGAATGTTCGAGATAGAATGTCACTGTGAAGTCCAGACTGAACTCTAGCTCCAACGTTCTGAGTGCCTAACATGAAGGGTTCCCCCTGAACCCTGCTGCTACATTAGAGGTATACAAGGGAGGGGGCTAGAACATTTCTCTCCTAGTGGACTCAGGCAGGCCTCCTGCTTCAACAGCAGGAATAGCTTGCCCCATTGGAACAACCCAACGAAGCACTGCTGGGAGCTGCTGGGGCCAGAGCATCCGAGCCCTAGAAAGTACTGCTGTAATCAGTAGAGAACCATGCCTCCCCTGGGCACCAGACTGCCACTGCTGCACATGGCAGCAATGTTTCCTCCACATGGCAGATATGGAGTCAGATCTCTCTCTCTCTCTCTCTCTCTCTCTCTCTCTCTCTCTCTCTCTCTCTCTCTCTCTTTGCAAGGACACTTATTATTTGTAGAGCACAGCTATGATGGATGGACAAATAGGGTTAGAAATTCAAGGAGACAGATGACCTTGGTTCCAGACTCCACTTCCCTGCTAAGATTCACAACTATGAAATCCGAAGCTACTCCAGGTACTGGTCTCCAGTCAGGAGAAAACCAAGCATATGTGAAGCCAGCATGACTGGCACCTTCAATGTCAATGACCTAGATACAACTGTTTATGCACACAGAGTACTGCTTCTATCAGCTTTGGTCAGGGAAGCTTAGTTTATTCAGTGGTGGACAGTGAATGCAGAAAATCATACCTGGCCAGAGTACTGACAATAAATGACTGGTGAATGTCTGGATCACACTCTCCCCAGGGCTCAAGGACATTTTGGAAGAAGCAGCAGAAGAGAAAGATGTGTGTGGGGTGGATTGCTGACTTGTGGGCATGACATGGCTGTTACATTCTTGGACTCACAGCAGTGTTATTAGATGAACAAGATCTGGGCAAGATCAGACCAGTCAGCACCTTGCCATGGAAGGGGAAAGAACTCATCAAGACTTACACACAGTTAAGGTTAGTGAGAGACAGAGAAACATTTCCTTCATTGCTGGA